CCGGGCTGGGGATTCGAACCCGCCACCTTAGGTGTATGTGGCTGGCGCCTTAGCCGCTTGAGCCACAGGCACCGAGCCCAATCCCCAACAATTAAAAATAAAAGTTTTGTTACACAGCAAACGGTAAATAATACATAATTAGAAGTTATGATTTCATAACGTTATTTCAAATTTCATACACTATTTTCAATTTGAACTACCCCACTATATGTTTTATAAAAAGCTTTTTAACAGAAAAATCTTTTTTTTTTCTTAGAGACAGAGTCACCCTCGGTAGAGTGCCGTAGAGTCACACAGCTCACAGCAACCTCCAACTCCTGGGCTTAGGTGATTCTCTTGACTCAGCCTCCCAAGTAGTATAACTTACACTTTTTAAAAATTCAACTATGTACCTGGGAGCTGTTCTTTTCTGCTACGTTATCTAACTGGACTCTGCTGCGAAATTAAGACATGGAAACTACACAATTCAGAAAGTAATCTTTTTTCTATTTTACAATAAAGAACCAATGAGAAAACTTCCAGGTTCAATGAATGTAACTTTTAACCACTCCAACATAGTCTCAGCATTCTCATTTTCTGAGTAATATATTGGCAACAGCAGTATCTCAGTGTTTTGCTTTTTCATTACATTTGACTTTTCTGAAGTAAGAAGTTAGACTGCTTTTCCTAACCTGAATAGAAACAAATGGATTCCTTTGCCATGCCTCTTTTTAGCCAATTTAAGATTTGATGAAGAGAGGAGGAATATTTCAAAGCATGGAATCCTATATATAGATAACATGCATATCATGCTACTGAACAAACTGCTTATGAAAGTAGCATTATGGAAAAATTCATCTTGCATTTTGGCACGTGTATCCTAATAACTCCCATCTAGCGTAGAGGAATTATAAAAAACATTGATATTGCATAAATTGCATTTTAGATGTATAGAGAAACCATTTTTGGAAAACATCTGCTTAACATATGTGAACATCAAAACATTTTGCTGTCCTACGACAACTTTATAATGAAATTTTTCTTTTCCACCATCTACCAGGGAATTTTGCCCCTTAAATTCTCTAAGCTTAGGGACTTCTTAGCATAGATGCCTTACATTTTATGAATCACTCCAGTTGATTTCATAAGAGGTTGCCTGAGTTCAAGCAGAAATACATATGTATGTTTTACTAAGTTTTAAAAAGACCTGTAGACAAAAGAAACTATTGGTTGATGCTAAGCCTAGGATGTACTTAGAGACAAACACAAGTTCTCCCTCTCTCACTAGCTGTCTTAGCTAACGTATAATCTGGGTCATGTATCTTAATCAGTAGAAGAAAATAATTACAAAAATAGCAAAACTAAAGTTTGAGTGGAACATGAACTTGAATTATACAGAACTGTGTTATTCAATATAGCAGTCACTGGCCACATGTGGGTATTTAAATTTAAATTTAAAGATTCTGTTCTTTTAGTTGCACTAGTCATATGGCAAGTGTTCAATAGCTAGTGGCCACTGTACTGGATGACCAGATAAATTTGCATCACTGTGTAAAGTTCTACTGTACTGCACTGATATATATCTCTATAGAAAGATATCCATGTTATTTCAAAATTGGGGTTCTGGAGTTTTACTGGTAGTAACAGCAACATCATCTAACATTTTAATCAACATTTAATTCTCACACCATTCTACAGGGTAAGTACTACATACCTATAGCCCTTTTCTTTTTTCTTTCTTTCTTTCTTTTTTTTTTTTTTTTTTTGAGACAGAGTTTCACTATGTCCCCTCAGTACAGTGCTGTAGTGTTACAGCTCACAGCAACCTCCAACTCTTGGGCCCAAGGGATTCTCTTGCCTCAGCCTCCCAAGTAGCTGGGACTACAGGCACCTGCCACAATTCCTGGCTATTTTTTGGTTGTAGTTGTTGTTTGGCAGGCCAGGGCTGGATTCGAACTCACCAGTTCCAGTGTATGTGGCTGGTGCCATAGCCACTGAGCTACAGGTGCTAAGGCCCTATAACCCTTTTCTAAAAAAAACCCTTGAGAACAAATGTATTTCAGAATTCAGATTTTTTTGGATTTTGCAAAGAAAACACCCCTATTAGGGTCTGGAACAGTAATATGTAATCAAAATGAATGTTTCTGCAGTGAGAATGAATATTTACACTAAGTAGAATAAATAAAGATTACAAATAGCTTCATATACATTTAGGTCAGGTTTTGCTGTGAAAGGGTTTTCAGTTTGGAGTACTGTGAATTTCTGTGATTATTATCATGTTTTACTTTAGGAGCCAGGGGCAATTCTGAATGTAGACAGCCTAACTCCAGAGTTACCAAAATTGACTTCATTATCTGCCCAACACCTGGAATCAGGCGACTCAAGTTTCTACGTGTAATTATACAGTAATTATTCATGCAATGTTCCCTGAGCAGTCTTGTACATTTTTCTGGTCTCTAACATCCTCTTTTGGCCCAGATAAATTTGAAGGCTCAAGTAATTTTTATTTTCAAGAGTCTAGGTTTTTGTATTGTTTCTTGTCTTTTCTTTTCTTTTTTTTTTGAGACAGAGCCTTACTATGTCGCCCTTGGTAGAGTGCTGTGGCATCATAGCAACCTCAAACTCTTGGGCTA